ATAAACCATTAATAATCACCTGACCCTATCCATAATTATAAATCCGTAGATTATCTTCAACTCCTAAGAGCCTCCAAACTTGATTCGATTTGAACACAGGCGCGCGTACTTATCTGATGAACTTAACAACAATACGAACACATGTATAGCCACACATTAAAAAAGTGCAACTGACGTGATGAGAAACGTTAAATCCACAAATAGTAGACAAAAACAACAAGAACTCGCTGCTTGAATCCCATATTCCAAATGTGGTCGCACGAAAGTCGGGTATAATAATCTAAACATTTCCTAATCCAAATACTAGAAAGGTCTATGAATAGACCATAATACCCCATAGTCGTTTGCAGCAGCAGCCCTACAGTCACTGGTAGTTTTGAGATCATTGCTTAGTATGACTCCTAAAACTTTATAGTCTCCTACTTTGGGTAACACGAATCCACATATTGTGTAATGATACGAATCATCGTAGTTATTTAATTGCATCACCACACTCTTGTTAGGATTCGCTTCTAGTGACCACCCGTTCATCCATGTCACCGGTGAGTTGAAATCATCCTGTAATAACATTCTATCTTACATGCTGTATATGGGTCCCCCAATCTTTATGTTGTAGTTGTAAATAGCTCCCCAAAATCAATAGCTTTCTAAGTGTTCGATATTGGATGCTGACCACGTTGTTTAAGTGGACTTGTTTAACTGAAGGCTTTCGGTCATGCATCCGTACCAGATAACGTTTCGACCCGGCGTGGGACACTGCTCTTACGTTCACTAGCCAGCTTAGAATAAACGCTTCGCAATTTATTGATAACGTATCAAATATATCTTTTCGATCTCTTTGCATCTGACTTCTGATTTCCATTGGTTGGGGAAAGCTTCGAATATAGGTGTTACTGGTTGCTGGTTGTAAAACTTCAAGACCAGTCGTATCTTCAATGTCATCGGCGAAGAGTAGGACGGATGACATAGCGACAGTTGGTAATTCATTCATAAAGTGAAAAGAGAGGAGAACCGAGGGTTGTGCCTTGGGGAACTCCACTATTTACAGGTTCCCACGATGAGAGAGCTTCATTTGCTCTTGCCATTTGTCGCCTGTCATGTAGAAAGTCACCTATCCAGTCTGTGACCGTATAATGAATTCCAAAGGTTTCCACTTTTGATTTAAGACCAGAATGACTAACTTTATCAACTGATTTACTTAGGTCTATGAAAATCACATCTACAGGAATATTCCGATCTTTTGCCTCTTCTCTTGCAATGAGATTTGTCAAACATAATAGGCCTTTCCGAAAACCATGTTGGATAAAAGATCATGTCCTTCCACATAGTGTATAACAGCTACCGGAATAACTTTTTCCATCAATTTGAAAACTACACTAGTTAAGCTAACGGGCCGATAGTTATCAACTAAATCTCTACTCCCAGACTTATACTTACTACTTACTTACTTACTTTCGCCTGTTACTCCCAATGGAGCATAGGCCGCCGACCAGCTTTCTCCAACCCACTCTGTCCTCGGCCTTCTTTTCTAGTTCTTTCCAGTTCTTGTTCATTCTTCTCATGTCTGTCTCTATTTCTCGGCGTAATGTGTTCTTTGGTCTTCCTCTTCTCCTTCGACCTTCAGGATTCCATGTGAGGGCTTGTCTTGTGACGCAATTGGGTGATTTCCTCAAAGTGTGCCCAATCCACTTCCAGCGCTTCTTCCTGATTTCTTCCTCCGCTGGAATCTGGTTTGTTCTCTCCCACAGTAACTTGTTGCTGATAGTGTCTGGCCATCGAATCCGAAGTATCTTGCGTAGACAGCTGTTAATAAACACTTGTATCTTCTGGATAATGGCTTTTGTAGTTCTCCACGTCTCTGCCCCATACAGAAGAACTGTCTTGACATTTGTATTGAAAATTCTAACCTTGGTGTTGGTTGACAATTGTTTTGAGCTCCAGATGTTTTTCAGCTGTAGGTATGCTGCTCTTGCTTTGCCGATCCTCGCCCTCACATCTGCATCTGATCCACCGTGTTCATCAATGATGCTGCCCAGATATGTAAAGATTTCCACATCCTCCAAAGCTTCTCCGTCAAGTGTAATTGGATTGGTGCATATTGTATTGTATCGGAGAGTCTTGCTTTTCCCTTTGTTTATATTGAGACCTACTGTTGCTGAGGCTGCTGCTACACTGGTCGTTTTCTCCTGCATTTGTTGTTGCGTTTGTGATAGAAGAGCCAGATCATCTGCGAAGTCTAAATCGTCAAGCTGCATCCTGCCTGTCCACTGTATCCCGTGCATTCCTCCAGATGTTGACGTCTTCATAATCCAGTCGATCACCAGGAGAAAGAGAAAGGGTGAGAGTAGGCAACCTTGCCTAACACCGGTCTTTACCTCGAACGAGTCGGTGAGTTGTCCTCCGTGGACGATTTGGCAGTTTAGTCCATCATAGGAGTTCCGTATGATATTTACTATCTTCTCAGGCACACCGTAGTGTCGAAGAAGCTTCCACAGTGTCGTCCTGTCCACGCTATCAAATGCCTTCTCGTAGTCGATGAAGTTGATGTACAGTGATGAATTCCATTCGATTGATTGTTCCACAATGATACGTAGAGTTGCGATTTGATCTGTGCACGATCTATCCTTACGAAATCCAGCTTGTTGATCTCGAAGTTGAGCGTCCACGGAATACTTCATCCTGTTTAACAATACTCTGTTGAAGACTTTTCCTGGTATTGAGAGGAGAGTGATGCCTCTGTAGTTGTCGCACTTGCTCAGATCGCCTTTCTTTGGTATCTTGATGAGAAGTCCTTCTTTCCAGTCTGTTGGTACATGTTCTTCGTCCCAAATCTTACCGAAGAGGATGTGGAGTATCTTGGCAGTTGCTGTTACATTTGCTTTCAGTGCCTCTGCCGGGATGTTGTCTGGTCCCGCTGCTTTGCCACTCTTGATTTGTCTAATGGCCATGCTGATCTCTTCAATTGTTGGTGGGCCAATATCGATTGGGAGGTCTGTGGGTGCTGCTTCGATGTTGGGTGGGTTCAGTGGAGCTGGTCGATTCAAGAGTTCTTTGAAGTGTTCTACCCACCTGTTTCGTTGTTCGTCAATGCCGGTGGTTACTTTGCCTTCCTTGTTTTTCACTGGTCTTTCTGGTTGACGGTAATTTCCAGCAAGTTTCTTTGTTGTATCATACAGTTGTCTCATGTTTCCCTCTCTTGCAGCCTTTTCCGCTGTCATCGCTAAATCTTCCACATATTTACGTCGGTCAGTCCAGATGCTCCTCTTCACTTGCTTGTTTGCCTCTGTGTATTCGGCTTGTGCCTTGGCTTTTTCTGCTCTTGTTCGGCTGATATTGATTGCTACCTTCTTGTTCCTCCTTGCTTCAATTTTATCCAGTGTACCAACAGTGATCCATTCCTTGTGATGGTGCTTCTTTTGGCCCAGAACCTCCTGACATGTTGAAACGATTGCCTCCTTGATACCTTTCCAGCTGCTCTCTATGGTCGTTCCCTCTTCATTGAGTAGGTTATGAAAGGCCTGGAACCTGTTGCTGAGGGCTATGTTAAATTCGTTGAGTTTGTCAGCATCTCGAAGAAAGGCCGTGTTAAACTTTTGTGATGTTGTCCGCGCCATTGTCCAGTGCTTCTTGAGTTTTAGTTTCATCTTGGCGACCAGCAAATGGTGATCGGATGCTATATCAGCTCCTCTCCTGGTTCTCACATCCTCCATCGTCCTCCTGAACTTTTTGTTGATGCAGACATGGTCGATTTGATTCTGTGTAGTGTGATCCGGTGAAATCCAAGTGGCTTTGTGTATGTTTTTGTGTGGGAATATGGTGCCACCTATGACCAGTTTATTGAAGGCACATAGGTTTGCAAATCTCTCACCGTTTTCGTTCCTTCCTCCCAGTCCATGTTGTCCCATGACGTCTTCGTATCCAGTGTTGTCCTTTCCAACCTTGGCATTGAAATCTCCCATTAGAATGGTCAGGTCCTTGGTTGGGCACTTCTCGAAGATTGACTGCAGCCTATCGTAGAATTGGTTTTTAGCGTCTTCATCGAAGTCGTTGGTCGGCGCATAGCATTGGATGATGTTCATTGTAATGCCCTCTCTCTTTGTTCTGAAGGAGGCTTTGATGATCCTCGGTCCATGAGATTCCCATCCTATAAGTGCATTTTGTGCTTTTCTAGACAGCATCAGTGCCACTCCTTGTGTATGTGGGGCATTTTCTTCTTCATGACCGGAGTATAACAGAAGTTCCCCTGAAGACAGTCGTTGTTGTCCAACCTGCGTCCAATGTGTTTCACTGATTCCAAGCACTTCCAGGTTGTATTTCCTCATTTCCGCAGAAATTTGGAAGACTTTGCCGGTCTCCCACATTGTCCGGACATTCCATGTACCTATAAAAATTGTCGCTCTGGTTGTAAGAAGGTGCATCGGCTTCATGACTTCCGAAGGAACTCGGCTTTCATCATGAGACGTCATTTTTCCTTCTACTCCCAAGGCAGAGTTTGAATGGTTTGAATGAATTTTTCTGGTTAGCGTTTTTTTAGCGAGTTGATTTTCTACGGGATGGGGTCGCTAACCTCATGCCCAACCCTCCTCCTTTACCCGGGCTTGGGACCGGCAGTAGCCCCTGGAGGAGCTACAGGCGGAGTTACTCCCAGACTTATACGCCGGACTAATTATAGAGTCTTTCCAGTCTCTGGACAACCTGGACTGCCTCAGGGACATAACAAACAGTATAACCAAAGGTTCAGCAATTATATTTGGTAGGTTTTTCAAAATCCTAGGATGAAAATCATCATAACCACTGGACTTGTCAGGTTTGAGATGCTGAAGTAGTCTTAACATATTATCTTTCTCAATAACTTCAAGGTCCATCAACAAGCTTCCACAATCACAATGTGATCATATTAGAAATCGTGTGTTCTTAAACTGTGCTTTTTCACATTCCTCATTATGATCACAAGGTATTTTTGGTTGTTTTAAATCATAATAAATAGACTTTATGAGCGCGCATTTCCAGTCTAATCGTTCCTTCAGTGTTCGCGCGTTGGGGAAGGATTAACAAAAACGGATTCAGGGATTTAGTCCGATTACATAACTCCGACCATTTTCATGGTTATCTGCTAGTGGATTATAATGACAGATTTCAGTGATAATTGCCTATCTGGTAGTTTATGGTTTCTATACTCGAAAATACTAGGCTTGAGTGACGAAGAAGTCAGTCTGAATCTAAAGAGTCGCTTGTCAAATCATAACAATACGGGAAAGAATATGAGCTTACTCAACAGGATGTCTGGTAACCATAAGCAGGGCGGTGCTCTTCAACAGTTATCTAATCTTCTTGGGCAAAGCATGAGACTTGAAAATGTGGCTGACTTTAAAGGTAAAAACTGTTATATTTAGTTTATATTTGGTTTTTGATGTACATGGTATGTAATTCTGGTTACGATTGGATGCGTACATTTTGTTTTTCATTCGTGCTTACGGTATTAGACTTTTAGCACTCTTAATATTCTCGTTAAAACTAGTATGTTATGTATGCGTAATATAAAAATACCAGTTAGGTGATTGGCTTGTTGGTCCAGTCATTTTGAAGTCTCTAATTTCTGTGATGTTGATTCAATATCTAACTTTCGTAATGTCAACAATCTTATATTAATCACGCATGTTATAAAAGTGCCTTATTTAGCAAACATATCGTATTGAGCTAGAGATGAAAACCTTTATATAAAAAATCGTTTGAGTCCATTTGTTCAGTATCTTTTTTTTAGGGAACTTTGACATACTTAACCAGGGAGTACTACAGGTCGTTAGGTAGGGTATGTAGGTCATAAAAATCCAGTTACAAATCAGGTATGTAGTATACGGAACAAACCTCTTGGTTATGCAAGTTTCTTACAAAACACTTATAATTAATCAGTTATATGTTAACAAAATCCGGTCATTGTCCAAAGCAAAAATGTTCTGTTATTATCGTAGCTCTTTAGTGGGTTATGCGAAGCTTCATTTTTTAAACATTAACAGTGCTTAATTGTGACGCCCCAATCATTATTATGGCTTCGGAATTTCATCTGATTGTATTAAGTGGGTTTATTTAGTATTGCGATGGCAGAAATGTCGGAGTTTGTACTTCGAAATTACCTTATCGACTATGACTGACTGTTTTTAACGGGTCATTTTCACTTGCATATTGTGAATAGTAAATGTAAGTGCCCTTAAAACAACAGATTTGCCGATACCTAGTATGAGATATTTATTCAGAAAGCAAAGTGTGATTGCCTCTCGAGTTTTTGTTTTGTTAAGTGGTTAAAGGCGATTAAAATGTGACAGTTTGCTGTTCATTATTCGTACCCAAATGGCTAATTCGTACGAGTTCTGTCGACACAAACCATCTGAATGAGTTTCGCTACAGGTTTGTTTGATAATCTAGGTAACTAAGCTGATAAGATAAGTACACTACTCATATCTAGCTGTGTGGAAGTTAACTACCTAAACCACCAAAACCACCAAGGTGTCCTAAGTGTTAATTAAATTAGAGTTCTTATGCACTCATCTTCTTGCAGTTTGGAAGTCTATCTCAAGTCTTGTTAATGTTCCTAACAAGTTTTTAATGTTTGAATATGGAACTACCTGTATACTAACGAGCTGTATGATTGAGCATGAATCGTGTCAGGTTATAAGTGAATGTTAGTTTTCAGTGAATAAACAACTATGGAGCTGTATCTCTATTTCCTCTGTGTTATATCAACTCAACATCTAAACCGTCAAAAGTTTATTCTCTTTTTTCAAAACCTTGGGATATAGTGCGTTTAACATTATTCAATATCAAACTATGTTTGCCCATAGTTGCGGAATTCTAGTGAAGTTTTGTTTTTGTGACCACAACTGTGCGTGGATGCAACAATTCAATTTCTGCTTACCTTTTGTTTGGTGTGTAGGGTAACTGTCTCCGTTTTCATCATTATTCATTACAATGTCCGTTGCCTGAGGTATTGCCAGGACATTCAAACTTGATTATTACGCTTCATTATTACTTTCACATTAATTTTAAGAGTGAAATGAGAAACAAAGTTTAAATAAAAAGTAACTATATTTTTAGATTCCTAATCTTATTTGTAAGAAACCAATGATATTTTGATAAGATGGAATCTAATATCTATTTATCTTTTTATTCAATATATGCCTGTCTTCTAGAGGTACTCAAATCAGTTGGTACTGGTTATCAGCGTAAGTGACTATTTCCTTGTTGTTCTGGTGCTCTGTTGTGTTTTCTGGGCTCACATACACTGTGATTTGTTACGTCACTTAATAGTATTTATAAAATAGTTGTTTACCAATTTTATTCTCAACTGTTAATTATGCTTATTAGGTGGCCTCCCAACAATACCAATAAATGATCTCCGTGGTGAAGAAGCTGCTACTTATCCTCGGGAGGATTGCGTGTTGAGACGTAGTTTGGCTGCTCTGTATCGTTTAATTGATATGAGAGGATGGACACACTCAATTTATAACCATATATCTGTAAGTAACTAGTACAACGTTTTATCTTCTGAATGGTACCGAAGGCTGTTTTCTAAACAAACTGGTATGTGACGAAATCAGCAATAAGTGTATAATTAGTACAATTTATAATAGATAAAATATGGACCTTCAATATTAAGATTTGTAACGTTTCAATGGAAGTTGATAAGCAGTTTGGATTTTAGTGTTTGTGTCTAATTGCATGGTCTTCAAACCTAAGCAAACCACATTATTATTTGTCTCGGCGTTTGGTCAGTCGTAATTATGACTGTAAATCTTTCATAAATGCCACAATTTAACATGGTCTGTAGTTCATTTGCTCATTATCTGCCTTTACTATAGTGTGCTCATGTGTATGTGACAACATTAATTAAACAGGATCCGGTTTTATTATACTTCGTATTACTGGGCATCAAAAACAGAATGGGCCATAGATATATATATATATATATATTATGGAGATAAAACAATAGAGAAAAAGAAGTATACTTGAAGAAAACGAAAAATAAGTCGATCGTATGTCATAGATGCAGTTTAGTTGGCAATAAAATAGAGAAATACTTTTTTTCAATTGAAAAAATTCTTATTAAGAGTGTATAGGGAAATGTTAAAATCTCCGTTGGCTTCTATCACGAACCATATCTAATCACATCTGAAGCCACTGAATTGCACCATCTCTATTACTCCGATCAGGAAGTCGTGATGGACTTATAGGTGCCAGTCCTTTAAAACTATCTCGAGGATGAAACTGAGTTAGTGGGTTACTTCCCTTTATTAAATTTTCAATGGTGGTAATGTAGGGAACATAACTAAGTTACTTGAATGTTCCTTTCAAGTACACTGTACCCTGAATATTAGTTGTTTATTGAAGCTTATTAATTCTGGTTTTGTTTTATTTGTAGGCAAGGTGCACTACAAATCCCAATCATTTCTTAATTAACCCTTTCGGATTACTTTATCATGAAATTCAAGCCTCTAGTTTAGTGAAAATAGATGCAAATGGTGAGTACTTCAATTCAAATTTCAGTATTGTATGTCTGGCAACAGACGAATAATTTCTTACGTTCAGACAAGGCTCTAAGGTGGCCTAATACAACCATTTTTATTATTTTAACGTGCAAAATAAAAGGTTCACTTAGAAGATATTGAGATCTTTTTCAATACCCACGGATTTCTGTGTAACACTGGGTTCATTTTATTTAGGTTTCCTTTTGAGTCAGATCACTCATTCGCTTACACTAAGTTAGTTGCCGGCCTGACATACATGAGCTTTACTGAGATCATTTAGCTGGTGATGAGATTCATATTTTATTGCATCTGGGCTGCAATTTATCGGATGTAAGTGACTACAAAAATATGGTTTATGGTGCCAGTTTCTTCTCAGTCTTATAGATCCCTCTAATCTAACAGCACATAAATAACTGCTAATAGGGATCCGATTGATTTGTGTTGCTCTTGCTATGGTACCTAGTTCAACAGCAATGGGAGTAGAGACAAATGCCGATGCATTAAGATCACCAGATAAGGACATGTGGAACAAACTCGTTGATTAGGTACATGCAGAAAGTATTTGAGGTGAAGAAAGAAAAAGGAATGATATAATGTTCACTTTGTCATGGTTAAATTATCTTAAGGAAAACGTGATTTACGACCATTCTCGTTTTTCTCTCTTGAAAATTAGTAAAATATTCTCTTGTCATGATCAGTCCCTTTTTACTGCGTATGGTTTTGCGCAACGATTGTTGCTACCTTCCATTTCTTCAGGTCCTTAATCGTTGTAATTGATTTGTAACCATCACACTAAATTTCAAACCGATTAATTATTTAATCTAATATTTTGACCGATTGGCAAATGACTATTACATTTGAGATGTGTCGACGACTCGCTTCCGTGCACTTGTGAAAGTTTTGTAATGGATTCTATAATGTAAATAAGCTATTAGATAAAATGCATTTAAAAGTGTATAAAGTCCATTTTGTACTGTTTCTAAAATATTATGGGAAATGAATATATATCTATGACTGATTTTTGCGGATAATATGGTCATATGTATTAGGGTAATCTTGGTTTTACGAGTCTGACTTAATTTCTGTAGACCCAACTGTCATGTCATTTCGTTTTTGCTTTGAGTATAATCATTTGCCGATTATCATATCTACTTTAAGCGAATTCTTTGCTTTTTAATTTCATAGTTTTGAGTTACTTAGCATTACTTTTTGTATTACTAACCATAATAGTGCTACATCAATTTTTAATAAACTTAGGAGTTCTACTTTACAATTCTGAGTAGGATTTGTGGGAAAAACCTTACTATTTGTGTATTCATAGACAACAGTTTCATCAGTTGGCCAGGATTGCATTATTTACAACCCCGTTGCAAAAGAAAATTGAACTTTTATTTCAGTTGCAATAATCTTTTAGCCCTTGAAATTATTGATATTCTTAGAAATTAATTCGAGTATTTTGATGCATCCGTAAACGATCTACTTGGGAACTCATAATTTTAGCTCATTTGTGCACTAATGCTAATTCCGTAATCCACATATGGATGCATACGAAACACTTTGGTTTATCATTGGAGTTTCATCTGTATTTATTTGTTTGGATAAATATCTTGACAATAAGATGGACTTTGAAATATTATTTTTCGACCAAAATAGTTTTTACCTTTTTTGTTAAGTGTGCTCTACTAATATTAACCACAAGTTGCTTTTGATAAGATGGTTTTAGTTTGTGTATATTTGTTTAGAGCGAATTACTTTTTGCTAGTTTTTCATCAGAGACTATCCCATGTGTTTTTGCACTGATTTTTCATTAATGCAGTTTTGTTTTTCATCGCTTGAACTTTCGTTGTTGTGAACTTTAACTTCCACCTAGGGGTGTTTTGGTTCTTTGACTATCATCCCATAGTTATAATATATATAATTTTACTCCAAAGATATTTATTTAGATTATTAATCTATATCTGGCGTTTTTAATTTATTCTAGGTAATATAGTTGATCAAGGTAGCTCAGTGTTAGGTGTAAATAAGGCTGGTTGGACTCTTCATTCTGCACTACATTCAGCTCGTAAAGATATTAATTGCATTATTCACGTTCATTTGGCCGATGTAATAGCCGTGAGTGGTTTGAATTTGTATCGTATTTCGTTTTGACATAAAGTAAGAAAATATTCTCAATTTTAATTTAAAGGTTTCATTGGTCATTGCTAAGGACTATTACGTAATGTAGTTCAATCAAATAATTCCTACTATAGAAAAAGTGGATTAACAAAAGTATCATAAAACCCACTACAGTCTTATATGTCACTCCATTTTCACAATTCACACGGACACATCGATGAAAACCCAAAAGAAGCTGAAGTTATATAAATTGTAATGTCCCTGGTTGCATTTAGGAATTTATAGAGAAAACACATTTATTTCAAACCATAATGCCGTAAGAGGCTTTTAATCCCTTACTTGCTTTCAAACAAAAGTCCGTAAATCCAGTCAGTCAGCTACAACGTAGGACCAGACAAATATACGCATCGCTCCAAGTTGTCATACCACACTAACACAACAAGATGAATACCGAATTCGTAAAAGCAGTTACTTCAATGGTAGCAATATATAAAAGAAGGATTTCATGTAAGGATATGATACAGGAAGAAAGAATTAGTTGGTAAAAAGAAAGGTATAAAGTAATTTTAATCCCACAGTTTAAGGGAAGGCAAAGAGTGTATACACCTACGCTATTGTGATCGATTCTGAGCCATGTCACTCAGAGTATCCAACCATAGGTTACGACAGTCACGCACACCACAACCAAGTAGTCTGCATCTACCAATATGGCTCAGAATAGAAGTTAGTGACTTGAAGAACTGATGCCACGTTTTGGTTTGGCCGCCCCTCACTTTCTTCCATCCATCTCCAATACTACTCGGCATTGCGCGTCGTGGTAATCGGTGTTCAGTAATCCGGTGCGCAGTAATCCACTGATATAAACTCAGAGAAATATCTCCTTGACCATTATATATTTTTTGCTGACTGATCATGGTCATTTACTTTAAATTAGTGTATATATTATGTATATAAGGACGGTGAGAAAATCGATTCTTCTGAATTGTGACGGTAAGTAACAGTTTAAGTATATATGCAGTGGGTTTCTCTTATAGATTTAAAATGTCGCTTCTAAACTGATCTGGATCACTGCCTAATTTGTTCATTGGAAGTAAAGTAGTGGAGTGCATTGACCACACTCTTTTAAGACCACATCAGCCCTGATATCTTGCAAAATCTTGACGCGGATAGAAAACGTTCTCTTAATTCTTACTAATCCGTCCACTACATGACTTAAATTAGATGTCCATCTTCCTAATTTTCTATTCTCCAGTTAGATTTTTTTCTTCCAAATCACTTTTCATGTTTTCTACATTAGTTCTTATTTTAATAGCTCTCATTTGGTGAATTCCTCGTTATACAGATATGAGGTGTGGAAGTTGGGGCAGATGCACACTCTCCCCATATCCTACGTTGATGACTGACTCAATAGAGTGCTTGTTTACCAGTTCAATTTCAGTTTTTTTAGCTTCATTTGAGTGGTTAGAATTACAGCCACTGTCAAAAAATAACAGTGTATTGAGTCTCATATCCAATTTTTTGATGCACCAAATGACAATCTGACATATTAATCCATAAATCTCATTCGCATTTTATTGACGGAGTATCAGGTTTAAAAATAATCTTAATAGAAAATGCGTAATCGGTGATCTTGAAGATTAGTTTATTGTTAATGGTCTCAAATTCATTCATAAATCATATCCATTCGAAAAATACTTCGTTAAAATCTTGAGTGAACCATTTAATCAAAATTGAAATTTATTCGACATAGCACAAGATAATTTTCCTAAGCTACTTTCAAAGCAAACTCACAAGTCTGGTTGCATGGATAAGCCGACCCGAACGTTGCTGCTACCCTGATGTGGTGGTCAGGGTTGCCTATCATGATGAACCAATCGAGCTATGCTGGCTGGAACAATCGTTCCTCAAGGTCCTACAATGCCAGACAGGTCGGTTGAAGAGCGGTAAGACTAAAAGCAGCAATCCCAAGGTCCGAATGCGAAGTCGTACTGCTGACTGTACAGAGGTGTGACGGCAGTAAGTTGTTTCTTTCAGACAACCAGCATAACAGGGGTGGGGTTAGAAAAGGTCGACCCTAGAAATGCACATCCCGCCTTATCCCACGAATATCCGTCTCCGACGGTAAGGTCCTTTAAAGAACGGAGCTAACACGTCAAAAATCCCCCACAAAAAGGCCGTGCGTGACCGACCTCAAGCAGTTGTCCCTTGGGCTCTGCGGTCACGCTCCCAGGTCGTTAAGACGAACACTAATCCAACTTCCTTTTCAGGTCCCTCAAGAAATACCCTTCTACGGTGTGGGCAGCCGGGAAGTGATATTAGCCCTTATACCCCTAACAGCACATGAGACCAAGTTTGTCACTTTCAAATCCTTCCTACACCTGCTAATAACTCTTTTATCTCCGCGACTAACCCTTCTCACGTCCTTTTATCACCTCGTACCACTAGGGCAAACGATTCGAGTACACGGAACGTTATTCCTGGTCTCCTGAAACCACGCTCTAAAGTACATGTAGGAACTTTTAACGTCCGACTGACATGGATAGGCTACTTTGCTATTCGTTACACATAAGAATAAATTAACTCTTCGCAATATCGCTTATATTTTTCGACATTTATCAAAGCAGTGAGGAAAATATGAATTATTTCGCATATTTCTCTGAAAGTAAAGTAGTACGAACGTAAACAATAGTTTTATTTGTGTCTTATATTCATTCTGTGGTAATGAAATCATATCAAGGTTAGGTATTGCGAATTCAGATGACAGGGCACATTCGTTAATGCATTCTTTTAGTAGGGTTATAGTTTTTCTTAAATCTGTTCTACCTTGACTAAAAGATCGTTACCACGGGTAACTGATCAATGCAGTCGTTTTAGTTATTCTAATAGTTTCGTGAATCTATGAAACTTTGATATCGAATTTTTTGACTGCAGGTCTCGTGTCTTCGCGCAGGGCTCATGCCTGTCAGTCCTGAGGCCATTGAACTACTATCAAATCATGGAGTTCGCTATCATGAGTACCGAGGTATTCTGGTTGATGAGGCAGAACGTTCTAGCATTGTAAAAGATCTAGGCTCTAAAGCAAAGGTGCTGTTTTTACGAAATCATGGTGTGGCAGTTACTGCTTCTAGTATTCCCGAAGCATGGTATCTCGTTAAACGAGTAATAGCTGCTTGTCAGACCCAAGTAAGTCAATGTCAATTTTTTCTATAAGACTATCTAACTTCTGAAACTATTTATTACAATAAAGTTGATGCATTGTAGTTTATCAATAAGTTATCTAGTAAATGCTTATTTGCCTTAAGTTTATGGATCGTACCATTCAATACTACACTTTTCGAAAATTCAACCAGAATTTACCAAGCTTGTAGTAGTTCGAATCTATATCATGTGTAACACGATAGGCCTGGAGAACGATGAGTAGCAACAGCTAATAAAAAGTTAACTCAATATTCGTAAACAACGGTGGGGACAAAAACAGAGATAGTCAAAAATGTAATAGGAACGTGTAACATGTGACAACTGTTCTGACTTATTAAGAAAACACGTTAACTGTTAGTGAAACTATTTCGGGAAAAGATGGAACTATAAATCTCTGTCCAAGAGATTTTGAAAATAGGCAGAACACTCTAATAGAAGGTACAGCTTCCTTCTCACTACTCTACAGTTACTCACTATTCCCAAAAAAGCTTTCGGAAGGTCCAAAGGATCACATCTAATTTGAAGCGAGGGAGATCAGAAAAACATGATAACTCCAGAGGTCTTTAAAGATGGTGCACCAGATCTAGCAGTTAGGTTGACTGAAATACTGACTAAAGTTTTGAAGCTAGGTTTAGTCTTGTCTGTTTAGCCTCGATCACTGTTTTTCTCAGTTTATAAAAAATGGTTAACATCCCTTTGTGATAATCACAGAAAGCAGTTTGATCAACATGGTGTCCAAAATATTAGCCTCCATAATTCTTCAAAACTTAACTAGTGTCCATGAACGACGGATTTGGGAAAACGAGCTGGTTTCAGAACTGGATGTGGACTCATTAATCAAACATTCACCGTCGTCACATTTTGGAACATGAGAATACTTCCCGTTTGCCGACTAAAATTATATTTCATGAGCCTGGGGCGGCATTCGACTCCGTCGATCAAGAGGTTCTGTGGTAACGTTCGTCATTAAAAGATACACAAAACAATGCATAAACCTTGTGGAGGCGCTCTAATAGAACACTGTTGACTACCGAGTCTGATTTATACGATTATAGTTATCTATGAAAGGGTTACCAATTTCATATCAACTTGACTTTCCATTTATTTTACTCTACAGATGCGATTGATGCAACTAGGGAATATAACAAGTTTACTGTCTGATTTAAAGGATAGTGCTGTGCAGCTAACAGATAGTCAAGCTGACCAGTCGGAAGAAATAGGATCAAATGTCGTAGATCAAGATAAAAATGTTCATACATCATTGAATGGTAAAGATTGCAGTGATAATGGTGGTAAGTTAACTATTTTGAGTGTTTCAAAATTAGCATGTCGGTACTCTCAACTTTGTTAATCAACGGAATCTTTTCCTCATGAGATTGCCTACTTAGTTGTTTGCAAATCCACTGACTAGTGTCTATGGATTTCTAACTATCCTAAGCATTAGATATCAGATGAGTAGTCATCGACAATGTAAATTCATTATATTTATAGAGGATATCCACTTTTTGCTACACATTATCAGTTTCGCCCGAAACAACAAAGAAAATCTGACTTCTATCAGAAAATATTTAGAAAATTAGGATTAAAGGAATGCAAACTTATGTAAACTTTGCCTAGTAGTAACATGCCATTATAGTCTGAAATTTTAAAAATAATAATATGACGAAGTTAGTTGTTATGTTATCTAAATATTGTGTTGCAATTAAAGAAAACATTTGTAATTTCTTTCAAAAACATTGATACTGTAGATGTAATTTATTTTCTATTCACAGATATTTCGTGGACGCCAGCAGAATTAGAATTTGAGGCTGAAATGCGTGTTCTGGATAGCGCAGGTTTCAGAACTGGCCATATCTATCGTCAGCCTAATTTACTGAGACGCACGCATCCTGGTTCATCGTGGCCAGGAGATACATATGGTGACCAAATAACAGGGGCTGATTTACTGACAACGGACTTTTCCACTAATGAGTTCAGTGGAGTTGAAGATTTAGCTGCAGCTGAAGCAGCGGGTGCTGAACAAGTTTCTAAGTTAGTTTCTAGCATTAAACAATTTTCTCAATACACAATTAAATGAACGAAGAATATTCTTTTCAATAATTTCTCATCAGGTTCTACAATTATAAATTAATAATCCATAAAAGAAGATTGGCCAAGTTTAAGGCGGAGTACATCAATTTAAGAAACTGTAATATGTGAATCAAGGATTGTTTGTCATATAAAATAAAATAAGATCGAATGGTTTTCAGTTAATATCATTATCTTATTCGCTATAAGTAGGAGTTGGTTTTGTTGGTTTTGCTAGAATGTTATTCCTGTATTCAAGTTAATGTTACTGTTTCCATTTCCTTTTTTCGGTAAATTTATTTAGTTTATGGTAATTTAGAATTCTTGTCACATATACGTCCTAATGTATGACTGATCTTCGAAATTGGTCGTTCTTAAATAGCTTGGATTGTTATTAGTTCAAAGTTACCAAGTCATCTGTTTAACATTGTCTTCTATTGATATCCTTAGTAATCACAGTGATTGCTCAATCTAATTTACAGAATAGTTTTGATGTATTATGTTAAGACCCATTTGTTTCTATTTCGTATTTTAGAATAAATGGTATATATATATATATATATATATATATATATATATATATATATATATATGTACGACTTAAGGTACCGAAAGAAGTTATTAACCTTGAATTAAAAAACGAAACGGAACCATTTGACTCATTATTCTGAGTTTGTTAAGCGATGGAAAAATGCCTAAATAACTTTCGTTAAAAGGCTAGTTAGCTTGTTAACTTGTTAGTTGAAGATCATCAGTACGTAATTTATGGTCGCAAATTTTAAAATCTAGCATTGGAACTGTATGTAATAATTAGAGCGTGGTTAATTCGTCTACACAAGCTACTGTTGATATTTTGAGATATAGCTTTCATCATAGCTTAGTAAAATGGAAATCATAGAGCGAATGTTTAAATTCGTAGTTCCATTACTTGTCAGAACTATTTTATTAGATAGGTTTATAGGTAGATAGGTTTTGTTGAATAATTACTGACTCTTTTATATGTGTTCATCTTACCGTTTTTAGAATTGTTGATCATGTTCGTGCCAGTCGCCAAAAAAATGCACAACGAAATCAGTGGTTAGCAAAAGCTAATGAACCACCACAAAACGGTATGAGTAAGTAATGACATTTTATTTAAAATATAGACTCAATCCTGATTTGTATTGCATGTGAGGAAATTGTAATCCTAAATATGTTCTTTCTTATAATCCTTTTATTTGCATGTGATTCGTTACGTTGTCTATAAGTGGCAATTCTGTTATTGTCCTTATTTTTGTAGCTGTTGTTATCTCTTGATTCCTTCTATCTTTGCATGCTATTTTCAAAATCATAACTTCTGTTGTCGCTCATGGATATATCACCTATTATATTGTGGATTTGCTTAAATAACATACAGTAACCAGCTCTATGATCGATTCGCCCCGGAAATTGTCCGGAACTAAAGGTTCAGGTGACTGTCGTTCTCATCCATTTACTTTGGATTCTCCTGTCTGTTCACCTGTTAGACGATCTGAACCCGGAAGCGCATCATCTCGTGTAGGAAAGGATTTTCATTCTCCTGTTATGCGAAGTCCACATGATGTTTCTGACTATTCAATACATAACGGTTCAGCCTCGATCTCAGTAGACATCACGGCATCCAATAGTTTAAGTAAGCCTGATTTTTAAAAAAAATCGAATTTTAGTTTTTTTCATTATCTTTCAATCATGCATCACATAACGTTTGATTTGGCATGTTTTTAGTTACGCTAAATGCCTTAAAGTTTTATATGATTCCTACCTTGACTGTAACAATGTTTGATTCATGTGTTGCAGTGCAATGATTATTTCCTCCCATTATTCTCAATAAATTTAAATTTTTATTTCACTTGTTCTTATGAATTTACGACTAAAAACGTGTACATCGGATCGTTGAAGTGCTTGTTTCTGATTGGCTTTATGTAAAACTTCGTTGAAGCCTATATTGACGTTTAAATAGTCATTTCCAATCATTTAGTATGTCTAGAAAGTTATTTATCCTCTATCCGTCTTACTGTGACAATCAAGCCGTACAATTCTTTTTTATTTAGTTAATTTATTTATTTAAACACATACATATTGGTACAAAGGGGCACCAGATATATATGCGCCACACAAATCTTATTTCATTTCTGTGAGGACTGTGATACTGCTCGGGTGCCCAAACCGATAAGTGTAACTCAACTTCAAATCAGGTATATGTATAATAATTACCAATACTTTTACTTTCAGTCTCAATGTCTGATTGGTATCCGTCATACTTCCGTTTATTATCACAATCGATGTTTGACCTAGTCACTTACACTTATTATGTTTAGCTTTAAGTGATGTATCTGAGACCTATCGTTCTGATCTCCCATAAGTCCATACCTTTGTACTCAGAATTAATATGGTGCGAATTCTGATAAGATTTATTTAGATGTATTCTTTAATTTTCGAACTATCTGGTAGACTAGTAAATTGGTTATATTAGTGTTTTGTTGATTTGATGTTACAGTACTCGGTTGCTGAATGGATTTTATTAACTCAACGAACGAACCATTATATTGCTCATCACCGTTTTGTAATTATTGCAAGTTTGTAGATTTCCACTCCATCTACATTAAAAACTGCTTTATTTTAACTATTTGAATTAGAATATCGTTTGTTCAACAGGAACTCATGCGGTCTTTTGAAGCTTGTTCATCTTAATTATTACTTTCATTCATTTGTTATCTATTTCATTTCATACTTCCATCGTTTCATCTGGTACTTTTTCCAGCACCGAACAAACGATTTAATGATTCCTGTGTAAATAAAAGTGCAACACTACCTGCAAATGTACAGCATTTGTGTAAGTTGAGTAATCATATTCCAATCATTTTTTTTCGCATTTACACATCACTTTACACATGGATTGAATATTTATATTTTGATTATGTTTACCATCGTACGTGAACGTTTTAATCTGGTTGGTTTTTCATAACATAAGTTGTTGCTCCAGGACTGGCCTGCATCAACACCTGAACTAAGGATAGGGAGTGAAGTAGTCCAACACGTCGACAACTTCACTTATCTTGGAAGTCTGGTCAGCCCTAATGGGTTGGTGTCCGACGAGATCTCAGCACGGATACAGAAAGCTCGTTTGGCTTTTGCCAACTCACGTCACCTATGGCGAAGACGAGATATTTGTCTATCAATTAAGGAGCGAGTATACTGCGCAGCAGTTCTGTCTGTTCTATTTTACAGCTGCGAAACGTGGCCATTAGTGGCAGAGGATACTCGTAAGTTACTAGTATTCGACCACAGATGTCTTTGAAATATTGCTGGGATCACGGGTAAGTGATAGTGAGGTTAGACTTAGGGTATTAGAGAATGAAGGTTAATCAGTTGATGAGATTGTGAATCTATATCGACTAAGATGGTTGGGCCATGTGTTACGTATGCCTGAACACCGATTACCACGACGCGCAATGCCGAGTAGTATTGGAGATGGATGGAAGAAAGTGAGGGGCGGCCAAACCAAAACGTGGCATCAGTTCTTCAAGTCACTAACTTCTATTCTGAGCCATATTGGTAGATGCAGACTACTTGGTTGTGGTGTGCGTGACTGTCGTAACCTATGGTTGGATACTCTGAGTGACATGGCTCAGAATCGATCACAATAGCGTAGGTGTATACACTCTTTGCCTTCCCTTAAACTGTGGGATTAAAATTACTTTATACCTTTCTTTTTACCAACTAATTCTTTCTTCCTGTATCATATCCTTACATGAAATCCTTCTTTTATATATTGCTACCATTGAAGTAACTGCTTTTACGAATTCGGTATTCATCTTGTTGTGTTAGTGTGGTATGACAACTTGGAGCGATGCGTATATTTGTCTGGTCCTACGTTGTACCTAACTGACTGATTGAGCTGGTTTCCACTTATTTCTCTGTGGACAGTGCTGTTGTACTTATTATCACACATCAAACTTAGTGTGTATAGGTATCAGACCGTTTATTCAAATTTTCGAATATAGAAACGACACTTTCGAAATGCTTCTGTTAAATCTGCGATTTTCGAGAATCTTGATGAAATTTTAGATTATTGTTAGACTTTGAGAGCTTTGATTACAGTTATTCTACGGTAATTTTCCTACCTTATTTTTTACTGTTAAACTGTCTTCGTTTACAAATCAATTCTAAATAAACAAAATACGATATTCGATATTTTAGCGTTACGTTAGAATAGTGTCTAATGAGTAGTCCGTAATATTTGGTTGCGTCGTTTTATGTCCTTGTTAGCCTGAATGTCTCATATGTATTCTGGTATTCTTCTGATTATTGTACTGTGTATTGATGATTTTTGTAGCATCGAATAATTATCTGTGTAAATTTTGTTGATTCATATTGTTCTACTACGAATTAGCTTCGCAAGTCACAGATAACTGACCTGTTTCCCCCTTGTGTCGTCGTCTTTCTAATAAGACGTGTAATTAATTTCCATCCAGCTATGTCCACTCATCTTTTTGGCTTCTTGTAAACTTTTTCGGAAAGTTCACCCTTTATCTTATTTGGGTATAGTTATGCTATTGTTTAAGTGACCATAGATCTTAGCCGGTCATTGTGCCTCCGGCGTAAAAAGTAACAGTTTCTAACTTACAAACCGTTTTAAGCAATCTGTCTTTTTCATCGTAAGATTTTTATTTAGATAGAACCTTTTCCGATGGATTCCGGAAATTTAGGAGAGGAATCATATAATAATGTTTAATCAGGCTTCGTAACCCTCTTGTGGGATAAGTCGTCGACCACGGTTTTTCAAGTAACTGTGCTCCTTAGTTGTTGCCAAGTGCTATTTTCGGTCTTGATATCTACGTCCAATTTCCAGTACCGTATGCTCTTTGGTCTTCATTTCCTCTTGTTAAAGATGCTGAGTTAGGGCTCCTACAGTGATGCAGTTTAGTGATTTCCGTAAATCGTGACCTATCCATCCGCTTTTTCCTAGCCTCCTCCCAAACTGCCAGCTATTTTGTAGCCTACTGGGCGATTGTTGCTGATGGCCTGTGGCCAATCAATCTGGAGTATCTTGTAAAGACAACTGTTCATATAAATGCTTGTAGTTTTTGATAATGAATGTGATACTTCTCCAAGTTTTGGCTTCGTACAATAAAACTGCTTTAACATTTTTATTGAAAATTCCAACTTCGCTGTTGGCTCTCAGTTCTTTTGAGTTCCAGATGTTCTGCTGCTGCCCTTGCTTTGCCGATCCATGGATTCACATCTGCATCATATCCTCCTTGTTTATCAATCATGCTACCCAGGTACATAAATGCTCTCACTTCTCCCAGAGCTCGGTAATTAAGGGTGATGCAATTGTTTCTCTCTGTGTTGTGTTTCAGTACCTTACATCTAACTTGTCCATTGTTAATATTTAGGTCTACTCTTTCAACAGCTGCTGCTGCTGCATTTGTTGCTGTGTGTAGGATAGAAGGGTTCGGTTATCTGCAAGGTCCAAATCATCCAGTTGCGTCCAAAGTGTCCACTTTATTCAGTGCTTTTGAGATGTTGAGACCTTCATTATCCAGTCATTATTTGTTTATTTATCTGAACACATAAATATTGATACAAGAGGGCACTGGATATATATGCACCACACAAACTATTAGGATGGGAAGAGAAAAAAAGGTGAGGTGCGTATAAGAGAAAAGAAAAAAAGGAAGAATGACAACCACAAATTAGTGTATGTTAGTGTAATAATAAGAATAGTAATGAGGGAAACGTAAAGGTACAACCATAAGAATTCTTTCAGTTAAGGAAGTTACAACCACTTTTTATGAAGAAAGTAAAAGAAAGTTACAACAGGATCGCCACTGGCTTCTACTCTGAGCCATATCTGATACCGTCTCTAGCCACTATGTTGCACCATCTCTCAGACCCCAGCCAGAGAGTCGATAATGACCAATAAAAGCCAGCCTTTTGCAGCTTTCATACCATGACACCATGTCATACACTGACCACCTATCCACTCATTCCGACCAGTCACAGCGTCGGTAAATAGTGCACGACTTGGTATTTTCTGGGACGACATTCGCAAAACATGTTGAAGCCACCGAAGTCGGTGTTTCAAGATGGTGACACCAATTGAATTATCGTCTCTGCGCCCGAACATACGATGCCGAACCTCTGCATTACTAACATGGTGTTGCCACTGAATGTCAGCAATCTTTCGGAGACAACGATGATCGAACACAGAGAGTCGTCTAACATCCTCAACTCGGAGAGGCCAGGTTTCACAAGCATAGAGCAAAACTGCTCTCACCGACGCGTTATAGATCCGACCTTTTACAGCCAGACTAACATCACGAAGGCGCTAAAGATAACCCAGATTGGCATAAGCTGCTTTGTCTTTCATTATACGTTAATCGATCTCATCACTCACGCCACCACCAGCACTTATGTCGCTACCTAGATACACGAACTTCTCAACTACTTCAATCTGCTCACTATCCAGGGTGAGTACAGTGCAAAGCACATACTATACCTACGGACACTGATTGTCAACTGATTAAGTGCGGATTGCATGGGTTAGGTATGATCTCACAGTAAGACAATATCATCCGCATACTCAAGGTCGATAAGTCTTTTTCCAGGCAACGGATTGACACCGCCGGTACGTACATCCATCAAAGGTGTTTCCAGAATATCATCGATGGCAAAGTTGTAGAGGAATGGTGAGATTGGGCAACCCTGTCTAACTCCACTGCTTGAATAGAACAATGGAGAAAGGTGGTTGTATACCCTCATTCCACCTGAGGTGTTTGTATACAGGGCCTTTATTATGTTTATAAACATGTCAGACACATCCATCTTCAATAGACAAGAGAGCAGTCCTGTTCAAAGGATCGAAGGCAGCCCTGATGTCAATAAACACTAAGGTTGTTGGCCTGTGATAAATATAACGGTGTTCTAACATTTGGCGGAGGTCGAAGATATGATCAATACCATCCTCAACCAGAACGAAAAAACAACGTGCTCCTCGCGAGTCAATTTTTCTCGTTTGTTTTAGCAACCTACGAAGAATGACAGAAGCCAATAGTTTGGACGCAATCGGAAGTAGACTTAACCCCCAATAGCTGTAACAGAAACGACGTGAACCCTTTTTTAAAGATAGGGACAACTATCAACTCATTCCATGACGTTGGAACATTCTCTAGCTGCCAGACCTTTTTAAACAACTCAGTCAGTTCTTTAGCCAAAAAGTCACCACTATTTTTAAAAAGAGCCGGAGGTAAGTCATCTGGGCCCGGTGATTTGTAGCGTTTCAAGAGTTGGAGTTCCTTGGGGACTTCCGCCTCATTTGGTGGAGCAGTCGTCACCCGCCATGGAGGGCACGACAGTCTGATCAATGCTGCTGGAGCAACAGGCCAGTTGCAATGCTCTTCAAAGAATTCTGTCCATCATCCAAGACGTCGATTTATGTTAGCGATCGGCATCCCGTCATCCTCGTAGATTGTTTCACTCACACCAGACTTCTTGCTGCCAGTAGCTAGGGTGAGTTGGAAGAGCTTCCGGCAGTTACCAGATGCAACTGCTGCTCCCAGTTCATTAGCACGCTCCGACCACCAGGCTTTTCGGTCCTTACGCAAGCTTTGCCAAATTTTATTACGTAACAGCCTTCGTTTGTGGTCATACTCACAGTCGCCCGGGGTAGACCGACGGGCTTCGATGAGTTTTAATGAGCCAGAAGAAACCCAGTGCTTATAAGCGGGACGTTTCACGAAGCCGCAAGCGACTTTATTCGCCATTTTTATGGCGTCATGAAGTTTTAACCAATGCTCATCTATACTTTCCGGTGGGATGGTAGCTAGCCTAGAAGCTAGCTCGACTCGATACTTACTTGCAACAGAGGTTGCGACCAATTTGCTGACATCGATCCGTTAATGACAGGGAATTCGTTAGCCACTGAAAAGTAAGGTAAGATTGGCACAGACTAGGGCATGATCAGAGTCCAGAAAGGTACTCCACAACCACGCCAGCGGTAGCTGATTGCCATGTGATTAATCTGAGTCCAGGCTTAAGATGCAGAGGGAGAATGCCTGTACCGGAAGTTAGTGCTAACCAGAAACGAACACTAAACTACTCTTAATCTTATCTGTATTTGAATTCTTAGTGTGCCGCTAAGTTTAATTTAGCGGTGACGGTTGAAAATTTTAAACGCGTTTCATAGTTGATCTCAGTGATGTAAATAGAAAGACAAAAGTAGGCAGCCTTGTCTGATACCGGTTCTCATCTAGAATGCATCTGCGAGCTGTTCTTCATCCACAACTTTAAAGTTTAGTCCCTCACAAGAGTTCTGTACGATAATGATGATCTACCCGGGTACTCCATAGTGCTGATAAATACTCCACACAACTTTCTTATCCACTGTGTCGAATGCTTTCTCGGTACATAATATATCCTAACTAAATCTAGCTTTTTTCATTTCATGTTTCGTTTTCAATTCTCACATTTATCAAAATATCATTTCTTCAGTATCTTGATAATGTATCTTTCTTTCCAGTCTTTTGATATTAGTTAGATATTGTAATCGTTCCAGCAGACAAAGGACGCACTACGGTGATTATGGACAAGGAAGAATACATCAAGAAAGCCGAGGAAATACTCGAGGACAAAAGTACATACAAACCGATAGACATAAATCCAGTCAAAAAACTAGACAATCGCATTTCAAAAACTTTAAACAAACTCGTCAAAGCAGGAGAAATAACGAAGCAAGATCAATGGAGAATGAAATCTAATGGACCAGTACTCCCTCGGTTCTACGGCAGACCAAAGATACACAAACCAAACATCCCACTACGTCCAATTGTAGCACTACCAGGAACACCAACGTACAATTTATCAAGAGAAATCTCAAGAATACTGAAACATTTAGTAGATTCGTCGAACCACTCCATCAAATCAGCCACACAATTCCTTGATCAGATTAGGAACATTCAAATCAACGACGACGAACTAATGATATCCTTCGATGTGACAGCACTATTCACTTCAATTGAACCAAACCTAGCAAAAGAAACTCTGTCCTTGCTCCTAACCAACGACGAAAACCTCGCGAAATACACGAAACTTCAAAGTCAAAGCCTACTTGAACTCATAGATCTATGTCTAACAACATATTTCCAATTCAATAACAAAATCTACAAACAAACAAATGGGACACCAATGGGATCACCAATATCAGGACTCATCGCGGAAGCAGTAATGCAACGACTAGAAACCACAATTCTACCAGTGATCAAACCAAAAATTTGGATTCGTTATGTAGACGACACATTCGTCATCGTCAAAAAGGAGGAACTAGAAAACACCTACGAGCAGATCAACAACGTCTTCAACGACATCAAGTTCACAATGGAACAAGAGTCGGACAACAAGTTGCCATTCTTAGATGTATTAATCACCAGAACGGACACAGGAAAACTAGAGACTCAAGTGTACAGGAAGCCGACCCACACCGATCAATTTCTCAACTACAATAGCAACAACCCAAGAACTCACAAAATCAACTGTGTACAAACTTTGTTCAAGAGGGCGAGAACACACTGCAATACAATCACAGCACGAAAAAATGAAGAAAAACACCTGAAAACCATTCTTCAAAAGAACGGCTATCCAATCAATTTCATCAAAAAATACCAGTCGCACACACCATCAGAAATGAAGTCAAGTATAAAAATCAACAAAAGGATCACCCTACCATACATAAAGGGCATATCGGAAACGACAACAAGGCTGCTGAAAACCTTCGGAATAGGTGTAGCCCACAAACCAACAAAGTCCCTCCACTCAATCTTATGCAAACCAAAAGATGAAATGGCAAAAGAAGACAAAACAAACATCATCTACAAGATAAATTGTACCAACTGCAACAAACACTATATTGGACAAAGCGGACGCCCCCTGCATCTTCGCCTACATGAACACCAATTAGCAGTCAAACGCCACGACATTTCTTCACTCATATCAATACACGTGGACAACTACGGACATACATTCGACTGGGAAAATGTGCAGATTTTGGACAGAGGCAATTCCAAAAATACCAGAGAATTTTTAGAAGCTTGGCACTCAGGTCAATCTGCAATAAACAAACATATTGAAATCAATCCAATCTATCAACCAATCAAGAAAATTATGCAGGAACATAGGAACAAAAATCAAAACAATAGGAGAGACAATCAAAACAAAGAAATAAACAATGACAGATTTAAGGTCAATAAGAACCAATCAACATCGAGGTGCAGAGGACAAGCTGTGAATCACATGTGGAGAAATTCAAACACTTCACTTCTACTCGAAGTTTGTGCTGATGATGTCGTTCAGATGGACGATGAAAGCTCCACGACCAAACCATCCAGCTCAGAGAACAAACCAACATAAAAATCACCCACCTGAGCTACAAATCTTCTCCACCATATTAGTTTTCCTTCACGAATCTTTGTGAAGAGGACGTGTCTCATTTTTGCAGTTACCCCCATATCTGATTTTAACGCTTCGGCCGATATGTCGTTTGATTCTGCTGCTTTGACATTTTTGGTTTTTTTGAATGGCTTTGTTGATTTCCGATATTGGCAAGATATTATCCGTTAGGATGCTTGCTTGTGCGGCTTCGATATCCAATGGATTCAGAGGTCCCGTTCTATTCAATAACTCTTAAAGTGCTTTACTGATCGGTTCTTCTGATATCAAACCCAAATGATTGGTTGCCATCTTTACCCTTCACTGGTATCTCTGGTTTGTCGTATTTTTCTGAGAGCTTCTTGGTTGCATCATATAGTCCTCTTATATTCTCTTCTTTTGCTGCTTGTTCTGCTGTAGTTGCCAGGCCTTCTATATATTTCTCCTTACCACCTCCAATTCTGTTATTCACTTGCTCGTTTACTTCTGTGTATTTGGCTTTTGACCTTGCTTCATCTGCTCTTGTCCGGCTGTTTTCGACTGCTGTCTTCTTGTTTTTCCTTTCTTGAATCATGCCTAGGGTATCAATAAGGTTTCACGTTTTATTCTGGTGCTTATCGGAATCAACCCCTCCTGACATGTCGGCGTTACCACTTCTTTAATCTTTTCCTAGCTGTCTGCCATGGTGGTTTCCATTTTTCCGAGCGGATCTTGTAAGGGTTGTAACTTGTTGCTGAGAGCTATCTTAAATTCACTGGGTTTGTCGGTATCTCGAAGGATGACAGTACTAAACTTTTGTATTGTTATTGGTCTGATTGTCCAATGCTTCTTTAGTTTCAGTTTCAGTCAGACCACCACCAGTTGGTGATCTGAAGCTTCTTTGTTTGTTTCTACGACTTCCATGAACCCCATGAATTTTTTATTTATTCAGATGTGATTTATCTGGTTTTCTGTATCGTGGTCCCATGTAGTTTCGTGTTTGTTTTTGTGGAGGGAAGTACTATTACGTTACTACAGTGCTAGCAAAAATAAACAGATCTACAAGCATCTGGTCATCCTCAGTCCTTTTTTAAATTCATGCAGTCAAATGAATTTTTCATACCCTGTGTTGTCCATGTCGATCATGGAGTTCAAGTCCTTCATCAGTGTGATCATGGCTTATCCTGTTTAGTTCTCTACAACGGACTCCAGCTTCTCATAAATCTTGTTTTATCGTTTTTATTATCATGATTGGTGGGCGCCAAGCACTGAATGAGTTTATTGTAACCCTTTAATTCTTTTCTCTAAAATATGGTTTACTAATCTCTTGCGCCTTGGTTCTTATCTCCTATTAGCGCTTATTTTACTTCTTGTTTTTTCAGTTTAGTGGAATTCCTTTTTTTCCGCGAGGTTAGTGTTGGTGATATTTTGTCTAATCCTTCTCGTTCACCTAATCTTGGTACCGTCAGTAACTCGGGCGGTCCATGCAGTTTAATTAGGTTACATTTCAATAGTTAAAATACCAAATAAAGTTTAGGTGCTATTGTTTTACGTATGAATGAAATATTTCTTTTATGATATATTAATGTTGACGCACTTTTCATTACTTCTTTTTTCAGCTGTTATGTCGAACTCAAATACCCTTCAATCGGTTGATGGTGATCTTTTGAATAATAATGTTGAGGTTATTTCCACATTTTTCTCCATATTTTGCATGTATTTATATTCACGAATTGTTGTTGTATTGCTATAAAAATCAGCAGTTGTGTAATTTTATTGGTAGTTATAGCATGTTGTGAAATCAGCGTTACTGTTGACGTCCCTGTTGTATTGGTTCAGTTTAGTATATTCTAGTTGAATGCAGTAATACGATAAAAGATAGGATAATTATTGCGTCGGTCTTCTTTTTTTTGAACTAAAATTATTCCGATTTGGAGAAATTTAAGAATTTTATTTTAGGAATTATATTTTATTTAGGCATAAACTTTTGCATATAAGGGATATAATTTAATGGGATTTTCTGTTTTAACCACTTTAATCTTTAATAATGTTTTTTGTTTCTTATAATTTGATCAACATTTAGGGAAGTAAAACGCTTGAGAAAAAGATCAAAAAGAAAGGAAGCTTTCGTATGCCATCATTCTCCAGAAAAAAGAAACATTAGCATTAAACTTACATTGATGTCTACTGCACACCTGCTTGTATTTGTTTCCAGTTCCATTTTCATGCCTTCACTTTCATGTCTCTGTGGTCATATATATTACTATAATACAGCTTTGATTAAATTTAAAATAACGGCTTACTAAAATAATTTGATAATTGTTGTTGCATAAAGATATACAGTCATCAGATGTTAGTGGTGTTTTCCCCTGTTTTATATTATGCTCTTATATTTGTTTTCCTAACTGATTGTTAAATTTTTCTCTTTCCTTGCTTATCATTTGAATTTTTTCGCCAATTGTTAACCAGTCGATAACTTCACTTGATTAAGTCTTAACTGCTATTTTTTGTTCAATTTTTCTGTATGTGTGTGATCCTGCCTTCATTCAAATTGCTATATAGCTTTATAATGATAATAATTGGTTTCTAAATTGTCTGATCATTAGTATGAATGGTCAACAAACATTTTATGATTACTGAACTTCAATAAACTCACATATTCCCTGTCTCAAGGAGATACCAGTTCTTGAATATTTTCTAAGATTATGAAAGAATAAACTTCTGTTTCCTAATTTCCATCTCAGAAAATAAACTTCTTAGCATTCTGACACAAATGTATGTGGAGTAACACTGTATGAAATTTTAATTTCCTCTTTCTCATACTGTGAATATTCGATTATATGATCACCATCAATCTTTTACTCCAGAGTATTTCTCATTTCTAAAGTCCTCAACTCTTTTTCTCGTCTATCAGATATGAATCATTATTGTGGATGAAAATTGTATGAGTTATATATAAATTCTTACTTTTTATCAGGAATATGATACGCTATTCCTCTTGATCTGCCATTTCCCCTAGTTTTTTTTCGTATTTTGAATTCTTCTTGAAAATCCAAACGTTTCCATTCTTCCTTCCAACTCAGAACATTTTTTGTTGGTTTCATCTGCTTCATTAGTGTCTCATTTCTTTCGTATCGCCATCTAAAGTTTGTTCACTTGTTCAGCTTAGTATTCTTGGTTATGTGCTTACGAGTCTATGGCTCTCCTTGTAATATCGTATCGACAAATATTTAGTATACTTGGAACTTGTTTTTTTTGACGTTTATTATTATATTCTGAATAATATTATTTTAGTCTAATTACAATAGAATTTTTTGTTTGGTTATTGAATATGCCTGATGACTAAATTTTTTACGATGGAAATTTTATTTGTTATGAACGATATTCTTTTTAGATATCCAGTAGGTGTATATTATTTTTTTAATTCGCAAATCAGAAAACAACGACTGTTGTATCCTAACTCATGGGACTATTGTCTAAATAAGAATTCTGATGCATTTTTATTGTGTATAATTGCGCTTACAGATGGTTAAATTTGAAAAATTGGATTCCTTAAACGATACATCGTTGAAAAATATGACGAATGCAAAGCATTATCATATTATTATTTAACCGCTAGCCGAAATTTGTTTACATGTTATTCTTTAATTTATTGTAGTGAATTCAAATCTCCATAAAGATTTATTGTGAACATCAAAGTAAATATCATAACTGTGTTTACTTAACATTCGTAGGACTTGAAATATCTTGATATTTATATCTAGGAAAAACAACTTACAGTTTCAATGATTTCGTAATGAAGTATTTTGAATCCATGACATGATGCCTAAAAACTGAATATCCTGATTAACTAATTTATGCTTAATGAAAAATATTTCCTGCTAAATACAAGAGTACAGGTCTAGTAAGAACACCTGTACATATTACGTTATGTGACAAACCGTTACACAATTATGAGATCCTGTCCTTTACTTTATGGATTTACTTTTAACTACTCGAGATTGTCCTTTTTATGACGTATATCTTTCATTCATTTGTACACGAATTCTAAAACACATTGTATCGAGTCCTGAGCTTCTTTACAACTGAGTAACTTTAACAGAATTCAAGACATTTTTAATACTTCAACTCATTTAATAACCAGATTATGCGGTTCGATTGTTGACTTAAGATAAGTATAATTACTGTTAATTGGTGGCTTTTTTGTCTTTCCGCCCAATTTATATTTTGATAAATATCTTATATACAGAATGTCTGCAAGAAAAAGTATGCCAATATATACATCTTTGATTGCAATTATTTTAAAATTTTGAACGTAAATTTAACTCCATTATTTTACTTTAAATTAGAACTGCTTTAATCGCTATCTCAAAATAATTTGCTTTGTGTTTAGATGTATTTTGTTCGGTAATCCTAAGTCAGGTACTGGGTATTTCCGAAAACTATTGTTCTTTAGTTAATTTGACCTTTGTTTTGGTTGGATCTAAGTCTGTATCAAAAGTCCCATTTGACATTTTCATATATTTGTAGATATAACATTGGTTTAGTTCATTGATTTAAACCTCATAATTGTCTCATACAAAATGAAAAATCAGTGAAATAATGTATCGGTATAGAACCGTTTAGTTACTATGATTGATTTCTGTTAGGAGCTGTACAATAGATCATTTGTTTAGCCGGGTAATGTTGCTTCATCATTGATTTACTTGACGTTACTGAGATTTTTCATTGTCTTTCTGATCTGTAAACGTTGACTTACCATATTTACACTTTTGCATAATTAAACGTGAAATTAAAGTGCCTACAGTTGTATTAGTTCGTCCCATTCGTAAAAATAAGCAGAGGGAATAGTAGTAATAAGGTGACCAACGGTCGCTGTTGTCGTAGTTAGTGAGTAATAAATATAGATAAATATAACTGATTTTGTATGACACATCGGATATTGAAACATTCGCTTCCCAACAATTAGGTCTCAAATTTGAACCATCCTCCATGTTATTTGGTGACGGGCGACGTATTATCACTCAAAATTGAGTACATAAAACTTGTACTTGGTTGGAGGCAATTTGGAAAAAAGCAGTCTACTATATATTGCATATGAGAAGACATCAAGTATTCTATTAATATAGCTTTCTTCCATTGTGTACACTTTCTAAAGGAGTTATCATGAGAACATATCTGTATACTGACCGATCACTGAAACTATTTGCCCATAATAACAACAAAAACTATAGCCCTTCAATTGTTTTTCTGATTGGATTGGTTCCAGTTTTGACGAGAAACAAATAGAATTATATCTTTATAAGAAAAGCAAACCTTTATTCATCATACTGTTTGGCAATTCATATACAGTAGTGTGACTATTCTAAGTAGTTTTACAGTTGGTTTTTCCAATTACGATATATCTCACCGTTAAATTTTCGAAATATTGCTCTGGAATTGTAATTAACGTGGTGTTAATTAATGATTATATTACCTGTTCCTATAATACAAGAACAGCAATGTTGTATCCAATCTCTTTATTCGAATAATAGATATAGCGTATATTCACTCTTGAACATCAAAAGACAAGCGAACGAGATAACTAAGATAAAATAATGTATTTTTATATTTTTTGTTATTGCTAGTCAATATTTATATTGCTTTGACACTTCGGTCACCTGACCAATCAACTGACGTAACATTGCATGTAGTGGGTATTTCGTAACGAACAGTTTGTTATATTACTATGCCTCACTTATGTGGGCAAGTTCACTTCTCAGCATACTTTTATCAAGCCACTGATTTCGATTTTCTCAGATTCCTTACTAATAGAAGAGAGTTGTAACTTGATCAACTTCATGAATAGCTAATGACCTGCATTACTCACCATTATTTTTAATGATTGGAAATCGAGTCTAAAAAAAGTCTGGGTTGATTTGAATCGTACTGGAGCAAATTGTTATTTCAGAACTTTCTTAACAAATGACTTCAAACAGTACCACTCATAGTAAATACTTATCAGGTACGTAATTTAATGTCAGCAATAAAACCTACTTCCGTTAGTCAATTGATGTAAGAAGTCGGGACTTGTGGAGTCAGTTGCATTGAGAGTAAATCAATATACTATCAATCACGTGAGACGAATACTGTCCTGTTTTGAATATTGGCTCAAGTTGGGAAGTGTAGACAAGTGCTTTTCAACCCAATAGTTTTGTGCTGATTTCGATGCCTGGCGGTTCTCATTTGGATCTCGTGCAGCATTTTGGTTACCTACTGTTTTAGAGACCCCAACTGTGACAACTAGACGGTCCAAATGGTTGTGGTTTTCATCGGTGCTCTAGATAATTCAGTTATTGACGATAAATAGCACTTGTAATGTTTAGAATTAAAGCATAAATACCGCTCTCTTTTAACAAACACGGTCAAGTGTGCGAGTCCGCAGTTATCCAGCGGGTCAAACAGGCTTTGAGGCTAGTTATGCGAATAATTCGGTCACATTGAGATCATATTGGGAACGTAAATGAATTTCCTTTTTACCGACAAACTCCCGTTTAATGTAGAAATTTTATATCTAAATTGAAATGTTCACATTTTGTACATGTCTTTCTTTTTTACCTGTTTTGTTATATTGAAAATATCGACTGAATTCTTACTCTCAATCTCATGTCTACTATCTTATTACTAGTTTATATACAGTCACATGCTGATCAAAATACACTACAATCTATTTTAACTTTAAATATGACTACTTTCTAGCAGGGATTATTTTCAATCGATTAATTATTACCACAATACTCTCACCTATCTACTTTTAGTCGTGTTCAAGGTGTCTTTTTTTCATTGTGTCAACATAAGTAATAAGTTGAAACTATAAAAAAAGTTAGATACCAATGTTTACTTCAGTGTATGAACTAAACTAATGGATACTTCATTTTTTACAAACATGTTAAAACATATAGTGAACAACACCTACAATAATAATAATATAAACTTACTGTTAAGTTTGTTTAAATGTAGATTAAATGTATTTATATGTTTTCCTTCCTAATTTGTTTTGTTTTCTGACTCTAATAATTATTAAATCTAAGGTCATATATATATATATATATATATATATATATATATATATATATATATATATATATATATAAGTGTTTATAATATGCCAAATTAAAACGAATAGTAAATATTCAATATATTAATATTGTATCACTTAGCTTGTAAACTAATATTCAGTTTTCAATCTGGACTGTATAATGTTCTAATCGATACTTCTGGTTTAATATAATTTATATTATGAATGGTATGGCATTCTTTAATAGCTTGATATGTAATCAAAATGTATGTACATAAAGTATGTATTGTTCAATTAATATTGAAATAATGATAATAACCATGATAACATAGTGTTCTTTATTAAATAACATAATTGTCTAATTGTGTAATCTCAGGTAATAAGTTACCTATTTATAATGTATCAGTCTACTTCCAAGTAAACTTTTGAAATGAAGTCAGATAACTTGTGTGTTAGGTTAAACTGCGTATCACTACACTATTCAATTGTAATTTAAATCTTTTATTGACTTGGCAAAATGTAGGATTTGCAATCAATGGACTGAGCCATTTTCGTTTATAATTTCATATAGTTTTTCCTCGCAATTTTATGTAAGCTGTATAGGCGGAGGAATTTAATGATCACTGGGTTGTTGATTTTTGTTAGTTTTATAATCCTTTACGAAGCACACGTACAAACTTGAAACATCGAACACAGGGTTCTAAGTTCTGACAGAGATCATGATATCATTAAGACTTGACATTTCTTTTGATTGCATATTATAATATTTGATATATGAATTCTTCAATTATCTCTATTTATTTCTCTAAAAGACGGACAAAGAGGGGAAATTCACCATCTACCGTAATGATTCTTGAATTTTACCGTAATTAGAATCCCGATAGGTTTTGAACATTTTATGGATAGATACCAGCACAGGTGTTTATCATACTTAATTGGTTAACTAAAATAAATAAAACAAGATTTATGGAGATAAGTACACTTTCAATAAATAGTTGGCCAGAAATTTTGAAGAGGCACTTAGTAAAATCTATTCATTGTACTAAAAAAGACGTATCTAACATACATAGCAAAAAAATAGCGGATTCAGTTCATCTTCGTTGCGATATTGACCGTATTGAATAAAATCAGTCAAAGATGCTAGTTGAATAAATAAATGATAACTTATCCGGTGATAAAAATCTAGCAACAAAGTATTTGTTAGTCTTAGTAAATAATTTCTTTGTTTTCAGGATTTATCATAAAAGTGATAAGTTGAATAATTGATAGTATGATTTACTGCAATGAAATGAACGAATACTACAATACAAAAATAAGCAAGTGATAAAAGTGGCCTAATTATTACACTAGAAGGATGAAACTCATAGCAGCTAAGACTAATGGTCTAATCATCCTAATGAGGAAAAATTGAATTTAGAATGCTTGACTTCTTAGTATTAATCGCTACTTCAGCGAACAAATAACTTTCTTTGTAAAAGTTTCTCATTTTGGGAAATTGATTATTTATCCTGTAAAGAGGTGACCTACACTACTTTGTAAAATTTCATAAATTCAATCTTGTACTCATCAGAATATTACAAATATATTATTAATTTATTAGTGTAGACAATCTGTCTAAAGTTCAATTATTTTGAAATTAACAAGTCAAATCTTCATAGTGATACCCATAAGAGTTATGAACTTTTCTGATTGTCACTAACAGATTGACATATAATACTTTTCGCCTAATAAGATACTCGCTATTCTATTGTGATCTAAAATTAAGGTCAAAGGAAGATAATCTTTTGTTCTGTACCTAATCACGTTTTACTAACAATTTTATGTTTAATTAGAGCCGATAGATTATGTGGGATTCGATCATTTCATACAAGCTTATTAGCTTTTAGCAACAATGCGGATGAACTTAGGTGTTTTTCATTGATTCGAATGAAAGTTTTAGGTTTAATGCTGTGTAAGATGTTGGGCGTACATTGTTGAAGTAATTTAAATAAAAACAAAGTGGATAACAAGTAATTTTGCTTTAAATTTTTCCTTAACCGACATCAATTCGTCATGAAAATCATCTCAAAAATATTTTACATCTTAGTTTTTCTGTAAATGAACAATACACTGATAAAACTTATGGATTAACATTTTTTGGTTATTTGTGTACTTGCTTACTTAAAGTAAGCTTTCTAAATAAGGTTGATGAGTGACTAGCATCCAGATCCAGGACGTACGTTTCATCCGATTTCGGACGCAGATACATTCCGCTGATCAGTTCCGGATAGAACGAAACGCATGTTCTGGATTCTATCCATATATAATATCCAA